CATGGGCTGCTCTGGAGTGCACAGGTCTGGGTTTTAAGTTTCTCCAGTGGTTTTGCCCTATGAGAACTGGACAGCAGGGGCCCTAAGTGCCACTCACCCAGCTCAGCAGGCAGCTGTGGCTGGGGAAAGCCTTAAGCAGCTCCAAGCCCTGCCGCCTGCCCGCCCCGTGCTGCGGGGTGCAGCTGGGAAGAGCTGCGCCCGCTCCCGGTAAGGGAGCCCCTTCCAGCCCTTGGCCAAAGCCTCCCTGTGCCGCGCTCGGCCGCGTCCCTCCTGCTGCCGGTGTTACCCCAGCCCGATGGTCGCGCTGGGGACGGCCGCTCCCCCTGTGAAGGTTTCGGCTCTGACACCAGGTAAGGCCACCTGTCCCCAGGCACCTGCCACCGCCTCCATCTGCGGTTACATAACAGGCACAGCTGGTGGCCTCCGCAACCCAAATGTCACGCGTAGGAGCCTTCCCTGCAGCATAAGCGATCCCCTCCCCACGCACCCGTCGCCTGGGGCCAGCAGTGCTGGGGAGAATGAGTGCTGATGCCCAGCTGCCTGCCAATCCCTTCCCAACATCCAAGCCACGGCCCCTCACTGGATCCAGGATTCCCAATGCACTCCAGTAGCAGCTCCCCAGGGCTCCAGGTCACTTGGCAGTAGAGCGAGAAAGCAGTGAGTGGTTCCTCCCAAACCCAGCTCCTCGCAAGCTGCTCCATTTACATGCAGGTGCTAACTTTCCAGCAGTCACAGTGGTTTCCCTGCTCTCTTTTCGGTGCTCCTGTGCTTGGAGATGTTATTTCAACCCCAAGGTTTCTAGCCGAGCTGTTGCTCGGTGTCACTACCGAGGGCCCTGCTGCTCTGTGCTGAGTGGCTGCAGCACAGTCCATCCTTTAGTAACCAAACCAAGCCTCCCACACCAGTAAAAAGGCACCGAAACCGATCCTGCCTTGATGCCAGAGTGGCTCAAACCCCAGGGACGTTTGCACGCTCATTGCATACTGCAGCAAGCCCTTCCCTGGCGTATGCGAGTGCTGCTGGCACATCTGCCAGCTTTGGGGGCCTGGCTGAGGCAGGACGTCACCTTTTGGGACAGCCTGCGCCCCGGGAGGGCAGCAGCAAGCGGCAGGCCGGGAGCCCCAGGAGCTGCAGG